CCCGGCGCGGCCGCCGCGTGAGTGCACCGATTCCCTCCCCACGCCCTCGCTACCTTCCCGGCTGCAGCCCTAGCTCCTGAACCCCCGCCCCAGTCACCCCGGCCGGGGTCTCAACCGCCCCCAACCTGGGTCAGGGGGCTTCTCCCTCCATCCAATCCTGCATACCCCACCTCGGCCTCCAGCCCCTCCCAGGAACCCCGCTTGTCCCACCTTCCGCGGATACTGACCCCATCAGACCCTGCTTCCTCGGGCTCGTGCACTCTCGCAGCAGCCCCGTCGTCGGGGGTCTAAAAGCCTTGGGGTAGGCGTTTGGGGGAGGGGAGGCTCTAGGGACGGGGCTGACCTCGGTATCCTTGGCTCCAGGCCGGCGGGCGGCAAGGCTCCGGGCCAGCATGGGGGCTTCGTGGTGGCTGTCAAGCAAGAGCGCGGCGAGGGTCCACGCGCCGGCGAGAAGGGGTCCCACGAGGAGGAGGTGAGAGTCCCTGCGCTGAGCTGGGGGAGGCCCCGGGCTGCGGCCCCAGCCTTGAAGTCCCGCCCCAGGCTGGATTTGAATTGCTTGTGGCTCCGCCCACAGCCCAGATTTTCCTCCGGAAGCTGAGACCCCGCCCCGTGCGAGCTGCCACGCCCCTGACAGGTCCTCTGCCTCCCTAAGTCCAGGCCCCGCCCACCACACAATGCCAGCTCTGCCCACTCTAAGGTCCCGCCCACTTCCACTCCTTGGGGGCGGCACCCTCCCCATGGTCCTGTGGGCCCTTTCTCCAAGAAGCCACGCCCACCAAGCAGAGGCCACGCCCACAATCTAAGTAAACACCACCCCTGTGCTCAAACCTCGGCCCATAGTCTCTGGGATCCCCTCATCCCTGGCCAGGGACCCCTCTAAACCACCGTGTCCTGACTCCTGACTGGGCCCTACCTCCATCTCTTCCGGGTTCTTCCTCCCAACTAGGCCCCGCCCCGTCCCCGCCCATACAGCATTAGGCCCCGCCCATGCCCCTCTGAGCCCCGCCCCAGTACGCCAGGCCCCCCTCCCAACGACGCAGCCCGGTTCTGCAGCCGGTGAAGAAACGCGGCTGGCCCAAGGGCAAGAAGCGGAAGAAGATTCTGCCGAATGGGCCCAAGGCACCGGTCACAGGCTACGTGCGCTTCCTGAACGAGCGGCGCGAGCAGATCCGCACGCGCCACCCGGATTTGCCCTTTCCCGAGATCACCAAGATGCTGGGCGCCGAGTGGAGCAAGCTGCAGCCAACGGAGAAGCAGGTGAGCGGGGCGCTGAGCAGGGCCGGCGGACCCCCGTACTACCAGTAGCCCCCACCCCCAAAGGATTCCACGTGCAGGGCTTTTCCTTCTGCCTGGTGAAATGCCCACCCATGACCAGTTTGTGTGTGTGTGTGTGTGAGATGGAGTCTTGCTCTGTTGCCCAGGCTGGAGTGCAGTGTCGCGATCTCGGCTCACTGCAACCTCCACCTCCCGGGTTCAAGCAGTTCTCCTGTCTCAGCCTCCCAAGTAGCTGGGATTACAGGCGCCAGCCACCACGCCCTGCTAACTTTTGTATTTTTAGTAGAAATGGAGTTTCGCCATGTTGGCCAGGCTAGTCTCGAACTCTTGACCTCAAATGATCTGCCCACCTCAGTCTCCCAAAGTACTGATATTACAGGCATTAGCCACCATGGCCAGCCCATGACCAGCTTTTGGGGGCGCGGCTAGCAAGAGACAAGACAGATCGAAAACTGGGTGACCAACAAAGATATGTCTAAGAAGTCAGGATAAGGCCTGGATTTTTTGTGAAATCTGATTTTCATATACTGTTAGTTTAAAAATTGCAAAAACATCACGGAAATGTAACAAAAGCCACCACCGCTTTGCACCCCTGTAAGTGAAATTTCAAAGAGAAAAATGGGTGCAGGAGGGAGTCTAGGTATCCACATACCCTGGAGGTTGGGTGCCTGCCCATGACTCTGGCGCCCAGGAGTGTCTTGTCAGGGCGGGAGTTGGGGATGAGCCTGGGGCATGGGAAGTGATGTGGGAGCTCAGAGGTCCTTGAGCAACAGGCTGAGGAGCCGGTTCTGTCTGTCTGGAGGGAATAGGGAACTATGGAAGGTTCAGGAGAGGGGAGGGTGCTGTGAAAGCTGAGTGATGAAGACTGGGTCCTGGCGTTAGAGGCTTCCCCTGCCTCAGGTCTTTTGGTGCTGTTCCCCAGCGGTACCTGGATGAGGCCGAGAGAGAGAAGCAGCAGTACATGAAGGAGCTGCGGGCCTACCAGCAGTCGGAAGCCTATAAGATGTGCACGGAGAAGATCCAGGAGAAGAAGATCAAGAAAGGTGGGAGGGGTCAGGCGCGGTGGCTCACGCCTGTAATCCCAGCACTTTGGGAGGCCGAGGTGGGTGGATCATCTGAGGTCAGGAGTTCAAGACCAGCCTGGCCAACATGGTGAACCCCACCCCCCCCCCACTACTAAAAATACAAAAATTAGCTGGGTGTGGTGGCGGGTGCCTGTAATCCCAGCTACTCGGGAGGCTAAGGCAGAGAATTGCTTGAACCCAGGAGGCAGAGGTTGCAGTGAGCCAAGATGACTGAACTCTAGCTTGGGCGACAGGGCAAGACTCCGTCTCAAAAAAAAAAAAAAAAAAAAAGTGAGAGGGGCCGGTGCGAGCAATTGGGGTTCTGCTCTGTGGGGTGCGACCTCTGCCCAGGCAGGGCCTCGGCTCCATGGGGCACAGTCCCGTGGGATGGGCGGGGAAAAGATACATAACCAGAGTGAAGGGGGCTCACTCGCTACAGCGATGGGGGATGTCCAGACGCGGGGGACTCAGGTGGGGAGCTGGAGCCGGCTGAGCAGCACTGACCTAGGGTGCAGGGCATGGTCCCTGGAGGCCTGGGAGGCTGACTCTGCCCTTCCCCTCCCCCGCCAGAAGACTCAGGCTCTGGGCTCATGAACACCCTCCTGAATGGACACAAGGTAAGCGACCTTCCTCTTCTCAAAGCACCTGGGGGAGAAAGGTCTGGAGCCTTCCAGAACCCTGAGCCAGAGCTCTGGGGAGAAAGCAATCGCCACACGTCCAGATGTGTGCAAGCAGGGGCGGTACCACTGCACCGTGGGGACGCTATTGGTGGCACTCCCACCCGGGGTGCCCCAGGAGACCCTCCTAGGCTTGGGACACACCCAGAAAGCGTGGCTGCCCCCTACCACCAGCAAAATTGCCACTTTGTCCCTTCCTGTTAGGGTGGGGACTGCGATGGCTTCTCCACCTTCGATGTTCCCATCTTCACTGAAGAGTTCTTGGACCAAAACAAAGGTGAGCGTTAACTGCGGTCCTGATGCGAACTCCGTGGAAGTGGGTAGTGGAGCGGGGCGTGGGCCAAGAGGGCCCCAAGGCTAGAGGAGACGGATCGGGAGGTTTCCTATGAGCGCCCAGGTGCGCGCCGTCGCCCTAGCAGCTGATGTGGAGCAGGAGGCAGACGGCGCAGTGAGGGAAGCCCA